AATGCTAAATGACTGCCAAAGCCTATTACACCAGAGAGGTGAAAGGATCTTGAATGCATAATTGAACATTAATTAACTGCTGGAGTTTCAAAAACGAATGATAAGAATGATTGAACATCCAATGAAACTGTCCATTTGCATGCTTAAACACTGTTCTGTTCTTTCTCTCCTCTCCATACCTGCCTCTGCTGTCATTTCACTTTTTTCTTTTCCTCTCTCTTCCCTGAGGGCAGTTCTTCCCCTGTTTTTAGCCCTGCATGGTTACTCAATGTGTCATGAAAAACCAGAGGCAGCCATGTATTTTTCATACTTGTCTGAACACTATTTTGGTGGTCTGACTGACAGTGAGGTATCCCTTGTTTGACCAGCGGCTCTGTTTCCCCCCCTCATCATGCACGATGGGGCGCTGCAATTCTCCCAACCTCCCACCACCTAAACGCTCCACTTCAAAAAAACTGAAGTGGTCTCAAGCTGGGAATCAGCCAGCTAAAGAGATCAACATCAACACGCTTGCAGTTTGCACATACATGTCGCACAGTCACTAGAGGTTTTGTGCACACATACTTTACCATTATGTTCTTTCACGCTCACAATCTGCACTTTTTTTACCGTTATATTTGATCTATTTTCTTCTCCCCATCCCGCTGAATATCCCTTCACCTCTCCCCTCCTCTTTGCCCGGCATGCTCTATTGATCATTTGCCTCACAAGTCCATGCAATATGAGCTTTACAGTCAATATTCACAGCAGTGCCCATACAGAAGGTGGACAAACAGTGTTTTGATTAAAGGCACACTGGATAATGTGCTCAAAGCGTTGCCAACTCTCTCACACAGGTAGAACAGTCTCTCACTGCCTCTGCGGACACAATCTGTAATGACTGTCGCTGCCTCACATCTTCAAAGTCTCCCTCGCTACTTTCAAGGGTGGTCAAAGGATCCTATTTAATGAGGTAGCCATTTAATGAGACATGAATGTGGTGATTTTGTTTGTTCTGATTTTCACTAGTAATTGAATAGGGCAGATATCGGTATTTACACATGCTATGCATACGGTGAAAGTGTGAAGTTAATAGCAACATGTCATCTCGTAATGAATGACACTGATAAGGGGAATCTAGATTAAAACCATAATGCTTATTGATTATTATTATGAATATTTTTGTTGAATATATAAATACTATTATGAATATTGATAAATACTGTATTCTAAGAATACGGTATTCTGTTTTTCACATTTATTATTTTTTATTTGTTTTTTTTAAATCTGTTCGAAATAAAGATGGAAATGAAATGAAATGAAATGATTGGTATATCAATGGACAGTGTATATATTGATATATAATGGATTGCCACTTAGAGATATTAGTGTTCCCTGATGCGATGCCCCTTTTGGCAACAGCATTTTAGTTTAAAAGGAACCAACATTGATTAAAAATGGGGAACAAAACTGTTGTCTCTCATTTAATTGTGAATCATCCAAAAATAATGTCACCTCTCTTCCTTCTTTGCTGTGTCATATTTGCCACAAACACTAGAGGGCTTTGTCACTTCCATGTGAACACATGTCACTTGCTTTAACAACTGATATGGTTGTTTATTTTTGGAGAGGACAGTTTAAAAACAATTAAAGAAAAACTCGAGATATAGCCCAGTCATTATTTTTCACATTGAGAGCCGTGATCACAAAAAGCTAAGCTTTTACCTTTTTTTCTGTTTAGGCATCATTTCCACTCTGCTACAATATAGCAAAAATTAATTAGATAATTTCCAATAAAAGGGGAAAATTGCACTCAGCTGCTAAGCTTTATTGTCCTGTTTGCGCTTTATAATTATAAGTACAAAATCAATATCATTTTGGAAACAGCACTTTGAGGTAGGGAAATAATAGATACTGTTCAATTCATGGTTGCCGCTATTTTTTTGACAATAAAAAAAAAAAATCACATTTCATTCGGACTGTTTGTGATTGTGGTAATTGTAACACTTTGCTTGTTATCTGCTTAGGCACTGTAAGCCAGTAACAAATAAAACCCTTTGGGGTAACTGGTGCATGTACCGCTTTAATGAGCACCTTGTTTGCTTAGCCTGCAGGAGTCCACAGTGTAACTCATAATGAAGTATCCCCTGGCTCATTGTCATCTTTTATCACGCTCAAAGGGTTGTAATATTTACCAAGTCAGAATATTAGGCAATTTCATCTGATGGTTCTCTGCAGTCTCGACACAGCAGGTCCAAAAACCTCTGCCTCAGACCTACTCTGGCAATTTATTATGAGACCTTAGGAAAAATGAATTCAATTTAGTCCCACAATCCCTTAATTACATATGTAGCTAAGTGATGTGTAAGCAATAACCAGCCTGACCTCTTGTCTCAATGACACAAACAGCATCTTTGCTGCAGTCTAATTATACATAATATACATATCCACAGCAATGCAAATGTTCTTTCTGTTTCTCTTTCATTCAATCCAACATGTCACTTTGTCATTAAAAATCCTAACACGTCAGTTATAACATAATTAGCGTTGTGATAACCGAGCGATGGAGGAAACAATAGCAGACAAATAAGATTGCACGGAGCTAAGAAGGAGTCGGTTCAGCTTGGATGGCCCCGTAGAAACAGATGACAGCTGTAATCAACGTTGACACCAAGAGAAACCCTACTATTAACTATCTCATAATAAATCCTAGGATGGAATACAGATTTAGACAGATAGCTGAAAACTTCTATTTAAAAGTCAGGGGTATCATTTGTCACATATCAATTGTATAAGATTGCTTCAGGTTCTACTTCAGAGCCCCTAGGAAAATAAGTATTACAGGGAAAACCTTTCTATATACGTGGTCTGACTTGTTACAGTTTGATGACTGGGTGGTTATTGTCAGTTTGGTTAGCCAGTTATTTGTTTTAAAGGTTTGCCTGTTTATTTTAAAGCACATTTAAAGCAACTTATTTTTTAGTTTGACAACATTTGAAAAATATAAATAAACCATTGCACAATGACTGAATGGTTAACATTTCCCATCAGAATTTCTAAGAGCCAAAATTACTTGTTTTGTTTTACCTTCCGAAAAAACTAAAATATTCAGTATTATCATAGAAGACTAGAACATCCAGAAAACATTATCATTTAAGAAGCTGGAAGCACATTTTGGCTGTTTTCCTAAAAATAGAGCAATGAACTGGATATTGAGAAAGTTCCCAATTTGTATTGCTGTCAATCAAATACTCAATTGCTTCTACTACTCAGAGCACTTGTAGCTCTAAATTAGCAGAATTGAATACAAACAATAAGTTATCTAATTAACATATCAAGCAATTCACTATTTTTTTGCGTGAAGAAAAAGTTGGTCTTAATTTACTTTAAAGTTAATGTCCACAATAGCAGATCGGAGATGAGCGTAACAGTACAGCATAAAAAAAAGCACTATGATGAGAGGGGGTTTTAAACTTTTCATAGCTGCGAATAATTAACCTTTCCTATGGGGTTTTTCCAAATGTGAAAAGTGTCAAAATGTGAAAAGTGTCAAAAACAAAAAGTGTTTTTTCTTCTGTGAAGGCAATGACATTTTATTAAAGCTAAATAGACAAACGTGTATCGCCTGTGAGACCTTTGCGGTTGTCTTTAGGGCTAGACTGGGATTTTGAATCAGGCCGGGGGCCTCATTATAAAAACATTTTCAAAATTCTTGTCGGATCTTACTTTAAAGATAAGGAAAATACTGTCAGATCTAATTACAAATTAATCATCTTTGCAGTCTTAGTTGGGCTTGTACATGCTCTGGGAAATGCAAAGCGTCACTATAGGATTTCAGTAGACTTTCAAATACTTATTTTTTATACCTTTTTGAAGACAAAAACAACAGTGCTGCCTTCATTATTGAATTTCTGGACAGGGTCTCTGCAACTGTTATAGAGGACGAGATAAGAAATGTTTTTTTTCCAATATGCATAGGAAACATGTTACTGTAAACATTTCCAAATTAATAAAGGGTTGCCTTTTGCTGGACTGAATGTATGCATCCTGACATTTTGGGAAATAGCCAAACTGTTAGTTTTAGCCTTTATTGAGACTTCAAGTGGATCCCCAAACTGTAGAAATACCTTCTTCCTGAAAAAAGGCTGAAATGTTGACATGGACCAGCCTTTTGTTACTCATAAGCCGCTTTCACACCGCAGGACTTGCCGTACTTTAGTGCCACGACACTGAATCCGCCAGGGGGCTAGTGCCAATCGCATTCACAACGCAGTACTTTCCCTGAGGCAAGATTACGCTGACGTCGCTTCGTCTTCTTCTTCTCTGGGTTTACTGGCAGGCCGCAAAACCACTTCACGGCGAGTACAAAAAAAAACGAGAGAAGAAGAACTACACGGGGGAGGGGGTATAAAGCCCACCCGCTGTACATGAGGCGTTTGTTTACTTTCCGACCTTTTCAGCCCAACGGTATACTGTTTGTCTCAGACGCGGAGGGATACTGACTTGTTGTGAAAAGTAACTTACAATTCTACCCGTGGTATACGCTCAGTATATCACGGCTAAGAACCAATCAGATTGCTTGATTTGACTTGTCTCATGTTATACAGCTTTGTAACTGGGTTATTGCAGCCAACTAGGGATTTGACCCACTCGTCGGATGCTGTAAGTGCAATGCTGGTTCAGAATCAGAGTCTAACGGGGCGTGGTTTGCAATTCGCCCAGCCAATAGAAATAAAATAGAAATTGGCACTCTTTTATCACCAGGTTCGTACCACCTCTCTAGCAGGGACTGAAAATGGCCAAAAGAGTTCCCGGCACTGAATAGTCCCGGCGGTGTGAACGCGACATTATTGGTACTAACGGAACTAAAGAACCAAAGTACCAGGGAAAGTCCTGCGCTGTGAATGTGGCTATTGTAGTCCCAATGAATACTTAAGAGGCTCCCTAGCTCAGCAAAGCAGCGTTACCGCCCAGGCCGGCGAAGGAGTGAGACCACAGGTTGCCAGACATTATTATCTCTCTCAGCAGTCCCTCGCTAAACAAAAACAAAAATAATAACAGTGCTCAAATTTGCAAATAGTGTGGGGGATGTGCCTTTGTAGATTTACCGCATTCAATCCTGCCAGGAGGCTGACAGGATTGTTCTTATGTCACACTGTTTCAGTAAAAAACAAAGACATGTCGGTGGTAGTCTGCCCACTACGTCCTCAACAAAACATAGGGAAAGGACTATTGAATAGGAAGTTACCTTATTGAAGAAATTGAATATAACTCCAGGTGTATTTAGTAAGGCCCAGTCCATTGCAGCTTGAACAATCTAATATCGATATTGCTTTTTCCTTCCCTCTCTATCCACGTCTCCATCCATATTCTTGGAACAGTACTTCAAGCTGTTGAAACCTGCAAAGGAGCTTAACCTACAGTGAGGCATCTGAACTTCGAGGGTTTGATTTCAGCTTCACTGGGAGACCATTATGGTGAGCTTTTTTGTTTTCACCCCACTACGCAGCCAGTCTGATCTATATGGCTCCCAGGATGAAGCTGAACAGAACACACTCCTTAATGCAAACAGACAAAAGAAGCAAATACACCCATCCAAGTTATTCAGCTTCCAGGTGCAGGTAACGGATTTGATGAAAGATGTCTGGAGGGTTGACAAACTGATGCAGTAATTGATAAAGACATGCGACTAGAATGGTTTTCAATCGGCGCAAAATTAATATCAAATGGAGATGTTGTGGACATGAACATCTCCATCCATCATACTATAGTGGGAGGGTTATTCTTTTCACTGAAATTGGATTAAATCCCAAAGCAACAGTATCACCCTTATCTGAACACACATATACAGAGAGATGTACGGACCGACACGAACCAGCAGGCAAATTAATAAAAAAAATAAAAAAGGCTGCTCTAGGAGGAGTCCTGGGTGAAATGTCATTGGAATTGTCTATCTTACATATTTTGAAAATGTTTGGCAGAATCAGAAAAGCTCTCTATCTTGAACGCACTTCAGAAATGTCTGCTTTACTTTCTCTTGTACGATTCTTATCTACTCTCAAGTGGCAAACACTGTGTGAGGCTTCAATATCAGATCAGAAGGTCAACATAAAATCGGTCAATCCTGCATTGCCCAACAAATCTGATGAAAGTCATTGAATATGACCCTCACTGAATGTCTCTATACTGAGTTTAAACTTTGTTTTGCCCATATGTCTATATTCTGGCACCTCTGCCTCAGGGAAATTCATATTGATTTGTTTTAACTGTACAGACAACACTACTGAAAACAAGTCTGAATGTGATGATAATGATTCAAGCTATGCAGTTCTTAAGCATGTCTCATTTTCATGTTAATCATTCATGGCTATTGGATATCCTGCGAGATGTTTGTGGCAAATTGTATCATATATCACTGTTAATATTTTGTTTTTTATCAGTTCCAGTCTCAATATACATTCATATCTGATTCTAATATTATCTTTCCTCTTTAGCAGCAGGTCCCAGAGCTAATGTTTTAAGAGAGAGTAAGGGGTGCTTAGAAAAATACAATATCTACCACATACTTAAGGTAGATGATTAAAAACACTGTCACACCATTACCCAGACATTAAAGGACCCCTATAATACTGTTTTTCATCAATGTATTATACACTTAGGTCTCAGATATACAAAACATGTCTCTGAAGTGTTTGGCTCTAAATACCAAACAGATTGTGCATTGTAGCATCCCATAATCCCCTCTGTTTCAGCCCTGTTTCAAAAGGGCTTCATCAAAAGTAACCAACACAGAATCAGCCCTTTTGAAACAGGGCTGAAACAGAGGGGATTATGGGATGCTACAATGCACAATCTGTTTGGTATTTAGAGCCAAACACTTCAGAGACATGTTTTGTANGTAAAACTCTAACACAGAAAAGACCTGTCTGTTCTGCCCCAGAACGTCTCGTTGGAAATTTCTCTTTTTCCATTGTTTTCTTCCTTGGTATGGTGACGTGCCCATACACAAATGGACCCATTGGTCCAAATCAGGGGTGGCCAACCCGCGACTCTCGAGCCGCATGCGGCTCTTTGCCTAGTTTCATGCGGCTCTTCAGTTCATATCGAATTTTATATGTGTGAGGTTGGGGGGTAGACACTGACTCCTGACTAGT